CAGCCTTTGTGGCCATTTGGGAAGTGAACCAGCAGATAGAGGATCTCCCTCTTTCTGTCTCCCTCTCTCTTTCAAATAAATAAAATAAATCTTTAAAACAAAAAATGTTTATTTATTTATTTGAAAGTCAGAATTATATAGAGAGGGGGAAAGATAGAGGGATCTTCCTTCTGCTGGTTCATTCCCTAGATGGCTGTAGCGGCCAGGGCTAGGCCAGGCTGAAGCCAAGAGCCAGGAGCTTCATTTGTGTCTTCCAAGTGGGTGGGAGGGGCCCAAACACTTGGGCCATCTTCCACTGCTTTTCCCAGGCCATTAGCAAGCAGCTGGATTGGAAGGGGAAAGCCGGGACATGAACTGGAGCCCAGGTAGGATGTCAGCATTGCTGGTGGCAGCTTTTCCCACTACGCCACAACACTGGCCAATTTTTTCTATTCTTAATATCTTAATGTATAATAGCATAGTTTGGATTAATACCAACTTAATTTCAATAGCATTTAAAAAACTTTGCTCCTATATACTTCCATTCCCTTCCCTCTTCCTTGTGACATCATTGTTATACAGATTATGTACTTGTGTATTATGTGCTGCTTATCATACATATGTATACTTAATGTTTTATGAAGTTTTCTTTTAATTTAAATAAGTGGGACAAAAAAAAGTTACAAGCAGAAGCATTTTTATTGTCCTTTGTATTCTTTACCAATGTAGTTACCCCTACTAGTGTTATTTATTTTGTAATGCAGATTTGAGTTACTGTCTAGTGTCTTCATTTCAGCCTCCATGAAGAATTTCTTATAGGGTTTCATTAGGGCAAGTGAAAAATTATTGGCAGTCTTTCCTTTGGCACTCTAGTATGCTATTCTACTGCCTTCGGGCATCCATAGTTTCTAGGAGAAATCAGCTGTTAATCTTCCTGAAGTTCCCTTTGAACAAGAGGGCATTATTTCTCTTTTTACTTTCACAATTCTCTTTCAGTAAGTTATGATGTGTCTAGGTGTGAATATTTTTGATTTTATAGTAATTGCACTTAGTTGAGTTTCTTGGAATTGTAGTTTTTCATCAAATTTGGGCAGTTTTTGCTGTTATTTCTTCAAAACTATTTATCTCTGTTTCTTCTTCCTCTCTTGCTGGGTCTTTCAGTGTGTGTTTGGTGGTATGCTTGATGGCATTTTACAGGTCTCTGAGGCTCTATTCATTTGTCTTTATTCTTTTTTCTTTCTTTTCCTCAGACTGGATAATCTCAGTGGAGCTATATTGAAGATTGCAGATTTTTTTCTTTTGCCTGTTCATATCTACCACTGAGCCCCTCCAGATAATTTTTCATTCTGGTGATTATACTTTTCAGATGTAGATGTAGAATTTCTTTACTTCTATTTGGGGGTTTTTATGATTTATATCTCTTTATTGTTACTCTGTATTTGGACACTTCTCATATTTTAATTATTTAGATGATATTTCCTTTAGTTCTTTGAACATTTTTAGGTAGCTGATTTAAAGTTTGTATTTAGTAAATTCACCCCGGGCTTCCTCAGGGGTGTTTTCTGTAGACTGCTTTTTTTTTTTTTTTAATCCCCTGTGTAGAGGCCATAGTTTATTGGTTTCTTTGACATCTCATACTTTTTTGTTAAAATTTAATATTTTAGGAGCAGGCATTTGGCACAGCAGATAAGACACCACTTGGGATGTCCCATATCACGGTGCTTGGGTTCAAATCCCAGCTATGTTTCCCACTCTAGTTTCCTGCTAGTGCACATCCTGGGAGAGGCAGCAGGTGGTGGCTGAAGTACTTATATCCCTGGTGCGCACGTAGAAAACCCTGACTGAGTTTTAGACTCCTGGATTCAGTCTGGCCCAGCTTCCGCTGTTGTGGGTGTTTGGTATATGGACCAGGATCTCTCTGTCTCTGTCTCTTTACCGTCCCCCACTTCCTAAATAAATAAAAGTAAATTTAAATTTCTAAAAAACTTGAGTTTAAACAATAATGTGCTAACTCTGAAAATCAGATTCTCCTCAGAATCTCTTCTTGCTCTTTATTGTTGTTTGTTTAATAACTTCTGAGCTAATTATGTAAAGTCTGTATTCTTTTTCATTGAACTTTCTGTTTAATTAGCTTAGACATCAACTAAGCTGAGTCTGATGCTTGTCTTCAGCTCCCGACTCCAGCTTCCTGGATTAGACCTGCTGTCCTTAAACACTTGCTCTGTAATTCTCACAGTCTTTGCCAAAGGGCTCACCTTTAATGTCTAGTGCCTTAAAGAGTTTTCAGTACCACCTTGGCTTTCACTCCCTGCCTAGAGCCTCCAGTAAGCTAGAGGTGAGAGCCTAGGACCCTGTGCTTCTCCAGAGCATTCCCATGCCTTCGGGCCTGTAGGTGGCCATCTGGAAGCCCAGGAATGTGTTGGAACTTTTTAAAGCCCATTATGGTCATCTCACTCACCAGTATCTCCTTCTAAGTTTTTTTTGGCAAATTGTCTTCCCTGAATTTTACCCACTGCCTAAAACAGCCTCCAGTTTAAACAATTTCTTCAGATCTTTTTGACAAATGCCCCCAGGGAAAGAGCTGTTCCCTCTGAGTGAGCTCCCAGGCAGGTCAAATAAAGACAGTCTTTTGTGTCAGACTGTCCAAGACACCACACTGATCAAGTAATGACCGTTCTCAGTGAGAATGGGGTTTGAAAGAATTCCATCCCTTTTCTGCCCCTTGCGTGGCTTCTAGCCTACTGATTTTCACTGAGAGTATGGGCTGTTGGCTTTTAAATTTCTGCAGATCTGTGAAAGTAGGAATGAGAATGAAACAAGTTAAAATGCTACAAAGTGCCCTGTTCTTACCAAGTTTGAACTTTTTCTTTTTAAAATTATTGATTTTATTTGAGAGTGATAAAAACAGAGAGAGAGCTTCACTGGTTCACTCCCAAATGCCCACAGTGCCAGGACTGGGCTAGGTCAAAGCTGGGAGCCACAAAGTCATCCTGGTTTCCCTCTTGGGTGGAAGGGATCCAAGTACTTGAGCCCTCCCCGTGGCCTCCCAGGATCTGCATTAGCAGAAAGCTTGAGTTGGGAGCTGAAGCCAAGCATCAGACATAGAACTCTGATATAGAACATGTGAACATAAGTGGTGTCCTAAGGGCTTGACCAAATACCAGTTCTTGAGCTGTTTTTCTTGAATAATTGATTACCACATTTCTGCAACCGGCTTAATATCTGGAGTTCTGAAAAGTTATTCTGAAAGTTGTTTTTAGTTTTGTCTTTGTGGAGCAGAGAATTTTCAGATTCCTTTTTCTAAAAAAAAAGATTTATTTTTATTTATTTGAAAGACAGAGTTACAGAGAGAGAGAGAGAGAGAGAGTTCTTCCATCCACTGGTTCATTCCCTAGATAGTTGCAACAGCTAGAGCTGCACTGATCCAAAGGCAGGAGCCAGGAGTTTCTTCTGGGTCTCCCACGTGGGTGCAGGGGCCCAGGGACTTGGGCCATCTTCCACTGCTTTCCCATACCACAGCAGAGAGCTGGATCGGAAGAAGAGCAGCCAGAACTCGAACCAGTGCCCATATGGGATGCCAGTGCTTCAGGCCAGGGCTTTAACCTGCTGTACCACAGTGTCAGCCCCTTCATAGATGTTTTTTTTTTTTTTTTTTTTTGACAGGCAGAGTGGACAGTGAGAGAGAGAGACAGAGAGAAAGGTCTTCTTTTTGCCGTTGGTTCACCCTCCAGTGGCCGCCACGGCCGACGCACCGCGCTGATCCGATGGCAGGAGCCAGGTGCTTCTCCTGGTCTCCCATGGGGTGCAGGGCCCAAGCACTTGGGCCATCCTCCACTGCACTCCCGGGCCACAGCAGAGAGCTGGCCTGGAAGAGGGGCAACCGGGACAGAATCCGGCGCCCCGACCGGGACTAGAACCCAGTGTGCCAGCGCCGCAAGGTGGAGGATTAGCCTAGTGAGCTGCGGCGCCGGCTCATAGATTCTTATTTCACCATTTTTTCTGGCACAGCTGTTCATTTTGTTGTTAACTTTGAGGTTGTTTATTTGATTTTGGTAATTGAAGAGTCAATATATTTCAAGAGAAGCAAGTGTATGCCATTTTCTCTCTTACAATCTGGGCCTCAGATTTTCATCTGCAGAGGAGGGATGTAAATACATCTTGGCATCTACTGCATGTGCCTCTGAGAATCAGATGTTCTTATTTGTGTGGAAGGAAGTTCTTGGGTCCTTTTGGAGGGAAAGCACTTCACTTCCTGACGGCTTCCTTTATCAGACCCCTGAACTGCTGCTTCTCCATCTCCCTTTCTCTCTCTCTCTCTCTGTCTCCCTAGGTCAGTGCCCATTCTTTCCATCAACATGCCAGTACATTCAAATTTATTTGAATTTCTTACAAATTGTTTGAAAATGTTCAGGAAAAATTGGTACTATTATTTACAGTTTTACTATAAATTAGTAGACATGATGCAATATATTTTAGTACCATCCTGGAGGTGATTATTGAACTTTTTCTTGTTATAGATAATTCTAGAAATAAGGTATAGAAATCTCCAGTTAAGCCTTGTGTGCCTCCCTGCTTTGATTTTGTTTTTATTTGGTTTGGTTAACCACCTCCCTAGCTCTGTTGAATCTGAATTTCTCTGTGGAGAGCTTTTAGAATGTGCAGCATTTGGGTGGGAGGGGAAGGGTGTTTATTATTAATTAACATAACACAAAATTCACTTTTTAAGCATATTGCTCAGTTACACTAATCACATTGTGTGATTAACAATGACACATACATTTCTCTTCAAAAATATAGAATCCAAAGTTTCTTGATAGTATTTCTTTGTAAACCAACATTTTTGGCAAAATTCAATAATGTGTACTCTGTTTCTACTCATTCACTATGTCGGAAGCCATGAGTTTCCTAAGACATGGTAGGTGCTGATTCCTGTGGTTACATTTCCATTACCTCCTTTCTTTTTAAAAGTAACCTTGTTTCACATGCAGTATGTTTAACTAGCATCTCTCTTGGTGCTGCAGGTTGCACAACAGGCAGGAATTAACATGGAGACCGCCATGTCAAGAGGACTGTATCAACCAGCAACAATCTTTATGGGCCGCCAAATGTCAGCCGTCTCAAGCATTGGAGATTTCAGTGTAGAGCAGAAATCTCCCCAGCCCACAAAGAACTTTTCAATTCCTGACCCACATTCACTTGCACAGACAGCCCAGAGCAGTGATGTGACAGACAGCTGTGTAGTACAAACCAACAGTGACACACAGTGCTTAAATAAGTCTGACAGAACAGATGGAAAGACATCTCTTCAGATTGGTGCGAAAACGCCCGTCACAGCCAGTGTATTGTCTGAGGAGGAACAAACTCATTGCTTGGAGATAGGAAGCAACACACGTCACAGTGAGAGCAATTTATCTGTAGGCAAAAAGTCTGCTGAACTCCATTCCCCGTTACAGGAAAGATTAAGTCCAAAGAACAGAACCGATGATTTAAAGTGTGACAGTTGCAGCAGATCAGAGGGATCAGAGGGAGAAATACTGACACGGGAACATATTGAAGTCGAGGAAGAAAGAGCCAGCCCGCCAGTCTCTCCTGTATCAGTTTCAGAACACTGTGCATCGGAAAATAAGTGGTCTCAAGAGAAGCATTCTGCTTGGGGAGCTTTCTCAGGTGGGATCAGAGGCTGAGGTTGCTGATTTTTGTTGGTATTTAGTTTTTCTAGGTGACAGTGATCTTATGTAAGGACAAACTAAAATCTCTAATTTTATTGCTGTCAAAAAACAAAATTGTGACTTTGTCAACAAATTCCGTTCCAATGAATTCTTTTTTATTTTTATTTTTTTAAAAAGGAAGAGATGATCCAATGAATTCTTAAATATAAATGAGGACAAAAAATTTTTTTTGTAAGAGAATTCACTAGTTTTTAACCTAGTGTATGTTTTTAAAAATATTACATTTGGCGCAGTGTTAAGCTGCTGCCTAGGGCACCTTCATCGCATATCAGAGTGCCTGGGTTCAAGTGCCGGCTCCGCTTCTGATTCAGCTTCCTGTTGATGGGTACAGACAAGAAGGAGAGCTGGGGGCTTGGGTCCTGCCATTCACATGGGAGACTCGAATTGGGTTCCAGCCTCGTGGCCTTAGCCTGGCCCACCACCAGCTGGAGTGAATCAGCAAAGGAAAGATATCGCTCTCTCCCTTTCTGTCTTTCTGCCTTTCAAACACATTTTTTAAATGATTTTTAAGTGTTTTAGATTTCTTAACCACTGGCCGGCGCCGTGGCTCACTTGGCTAATCCTCCACCTGCGGCGCCGGCATCCCGGGTTCTAGTCCCAGTTGGGGCACCGGATACTAGTCCCGGTTGTTCCTCTTCCAGTCCAGCTCTCTGCTGTGGCCCGGGAGGGCAGAAGAGGATGGCCCAAGTGTTTGGGCCCTGCACCCGTGTGGGAGACCAGGAGGAAGTACCCGGCTCCTGGCTTCGGATCGGCACAGCGCTGGCCGTAGCGGCCATTAGGGGAGTGAGCCAATGGAAGGAAGACCTTTCTCTCTGCCTCTCTCTCACTGTCTATATCTCTCTCTCACTGTCTAACTCTGCCTGGCAAAAAATTAAAAAAAAAAAAAAAAGATTTCTTAACCACTATATAACAAGTTGTGGGTTGTTCCTGCCTGTTTTTTTTTTTGTTTGTTTGTTTTTGTTTTTGTTTTGTTTTTTTTTTGACAGGCAGAGTGGTCAGTGAGAGAGAGAAAGAGAAAGGTCTTCCTTTTTCCGTTGGTTCACTCCCCAAAGGCCGCTGCGGCCTGCTCGCTGCGACCAGCACACCCCGCTGATCTGAAGCCAAGGGCCAGGTGCTTCTCCTGGTCTTTCATGTGGGTGCAGAGCCCAAGCCTGTTCTTAATTAGTGGGTAATTCTGCTCAGCGCTTCCTTGTCGCCCCTTGATGTTAGTGTTCACTACTCCATTCACATCTCCTCTGCAGGCCATCATCCTCGAGGGGACCCAGAATCACAGAGCCCCTTCAGAGAAACCCACGAGGAGAAGGAGGAGGACAGTTTGAGCAGCAGCAGTAGTGGCCTCACAGTTTCTGTAAGTGAAGACGATTTGATGTTAAAGAGTCCAGAACCACCGCCAAATCCCGGTGACCAGATGGAGGGAGAAGACGGAATAGAGGCCTTAAAACTAATCCACGCCGAGCAGGAAGGAGAAGCCCTATCCTCTGAAGAAGATGATTGTGTTTTGCGAACCGTGAGCTCTCCAGGTTCAGAAAAGGAATCCTCCACGAACACGCCTGCACGAGAGTAAGCCATGCAGTTTTTTTGTTTGACTATTTGGGTTTTAATTGTAGGCAGGTTAGAGATCGTGCCACTGAGAATGTCAGAGTGAGGACTCAGGGACGTGTAAGTCCCTTAGGTCTCATAAGCAGTCTTTTAGGTAAAATGTCATTTTCTTTCTTTTTTAACAAAATAGCTTTCAAATATGAATAGCATATTTCTATGGTGAGTGCAGGTTATAATTTTACCCAGCCTGTAGTTAATTTGATTCCTTCTTTCCCTCTACCCTTAGGATTTTTAGAAAAATCTATTTATAAATTTTGTTTTGTTTTAAAGATTTATTTATTTGAAAGTCAGAGATAACAGAGAGAGAGGGAGAGACGGGGAGAGCTCTTCCACTTGGTGGTTCACTCCCCAGATGGCCACAACAGCCAGTGCTAGGCCAGGCGGAGCCAGGAGCTGCTTCTGAGTCTCTCGTGCGTGAGAGGGGCCTAGGTACCTGGGCCATCTTCCACTGTTTTTCCTAGGCCATTAGCGGGGAGGTGGATTGGAAGCAGAGCAATCAGGACACTAACTGGCACCCATGGAATGCTAGTGTTGCAAGCAGTGGCTTTACTCCCTTTGCTACAATGCCAGGCACTGTTTAGAGTTTTGCTACCATAGAAGGTGACGAATAGTTAAATGTGCTAGGAATTCAGTTTAAAGGACTGGAACTTTGTAGCTAATTAATTTGATTAATCCTCTTATTCCTTGCCACAGAGTCATTTTTGTCTTAGGGTTAAATGTGAATTAACAAGTTTTTCTAGTTGTATATCCAAACCAGCTTTCCTTTTCTGTATATGAATAGTACAACATTGGAATCTTTAAGGTTAAATAGAAACATGAGCATTCCACATTGGGAGCAGTTATAATATCCAACTCATAAGACCTTGTATGTGCTTTTTTATTGTTGATTGAAAATACTGGGTGGAAGAAAACTTGGAACACCTCATGTGTAGAAAACTTGTTAACTTTTGTAATGGATTCTGTGATTTAGAAAAGAAAATAGCACTGACATCTTTAAATCTGGGGAGGGGAGGAAGGAACCTAAAGGCAGCCTGAAGTAGATCATGCCTTTTGCAGAAGAGGAGGTAAGGCGGGGGGTGTCCCAGGGTTTCAGAGGTCACCGGGGCACTTCGTCTTTGCAGCCTGCCTCCCTGACCCCCTTCCCGCTCCCAGAACTTGGAGCCACCCTGTGATGCCGGGCGTCTGATTCCGTCTGTCCTGGCAGCAGTTAAAAGACAAGTGGGCGTCTTTGTCTATGCTCTTTAGAGCACCGTTGTACCTTTGAACACACTGCCTCTTATCATTCATTATCCACTTACCATGAAAAGTTTAATCTGCCGTCTGATTGACTCCATACTGATGTTCGGGAAATACTTATTAAGAGCATATCCAAGTGCAAAGTGTTTGCCCTGTGGATAGAAGCACTGAAACGAAGACGCAAGCCAAATGGTTTTTCTGGTAATAATAGTCTCGTCATCAAAGAGGGATGAGGATTGCGTACTACGTTGCCAGAAACTATTAGTGTAGGTAGAAATGACCTATTTTGGGTTTTGCATTTGTAAGTTTATTTTTATGGCAGTGCCTTGGACAGGTTAGTATTTAGAGGGCTAACTGGGGGAGTAGTATACATATCCAGGACTCTATTTTTCTAAGGTTGAAAGTTGAGTATATTAATAGAATTACTGCTGAACATTTCTCTACAAGTCAGGAATGCTTTGTCTCCCATAGGAATGACTTTTTACTGTTACCTTAAAGCAAACTCCTTGGAATTTTGGGTTATAATTTTCCAATATTTATTGGGAAATACTAGGCATTTGGGTAAATTTTGTGTGTGTCTTAGTAAAATACTTCCCGAATGAAAATGTCAGTTAGCAGTGGTTATTTCCGTGCCTGTGTTACCCGGTTTGGGCCTATTGCTCTTCAGGAGTAGGTTGAAGGTGGTTTTGGATGATGCTGGTTAACTTGTTAATACTTCTGCTACTTTTGAGGCTGCTCGTTCTCTTAATTTTTTTCCTTAGCGTGAGCTCTGCTCTTTTGCTCTCAGGAGTCAAGTGTTAGTCTGAATCTATGGCATTATGTTTTGATAACTTAGACTGTTCTCAAAAGCTCGGTATCTCAGGGTCTGTGCAGAGCCTGGAGTACAAGCACTTGAGGTGATTTCGGTTAGCAGACTTGCAGAGGTGGGACCAAGGAAGACACAGAGAGAACACGGAGAGGAAGCTGGAGCCTGAGGTTTGAGTATACCGATGGAAATGATGATGACAGACAGCTGTTAGGTCTTGGCTTGTTGCCATGCTCCAACACAACACTTGGTCTTTGAGTTACCTGGCAGTGAAAGTGAAAAGCGAAGTGCAGGATGCTGGCTAGTTCCCACTTTAGGAGAGAAGTGAACCAAGTATGTTGGTATTTCTTTCACTTTTAAAGCTTTTAAAGTACAGCTTTAATGAGATATAATTCACTTGTCATACACTTCACCTGTTAAAAATAGACTTTTTGAGGGGTTTGATAGAGTATAGCCTTAATTTTTAAATATTGTGGTAAAATATATGTAAAACAAAACTTGCCATTTTTAAAAAGATTTTATTTATTTGAAAGCGTTATGGAGGGAGAAGCAGAGGCACGGGGCGGGGGGGGCGGGAGAGCAAGCGATCCTCCATCCACTGGTTCACTCCCCAAATCACCGCAAAGGATGAGGCCAGGCCTAAGCCAGGAGCCAGGAGCTGCATCTGGGTCTCCCACATGGGTGCAGGGGCACAAGCACTTGGGCATCTTCCGCTGCTTTCCCAAGTATATTAGCAGGGAGCTGGATTGGAAGTGGAGCAGCCAGGGTGTGAATCAGTGGCCATTTGGAGTGCTGGTACTGTAGGCGGCAGCATTACCCACTATGCCACAGCGCCAGTCCCAGAACTTGGCATTTTTAAGTGTGCAGTTTAGTGGCATTGATGACTTTCACATTTTTTGTAAGCATTAGCCTCATCTCTGGGAATCTCTAATTTACTGTCTTTGAATTTACGTATTCTAGATATTTCTTACAAGCATCATCATACAATAGTTGTCCTTTTGTGTCCAGTTAACAGTGTTTTCAAGGTTCATCCATGCTGTAGCATGTAAGCAGTGCCTCATTCGTTTTTATGGCTGAATAATAATATAGTGTGTGACTATACCATGTTTTGTTTGTCCATTTATCTATTGATAGGTACTTGGGTTGCTTGTATTTATAAAAGCAAAGTGCCTTTTTAAAATCTTTATTTTATTTATTTGAAAGGCAGGGTTATAGACACACAAGGAGAGACAGCGAGAGAGAAAGGTCTCCCATCCAGTGATTCACTTCTGAAATGATTGGGTTGGCTGGAACTGGGTCAGACAGAAGCCAGGAGCCAAGAGCTGCATCTAGGTCTCCCACATGGGTGCAGGGGCTCAAGGACTTGGGCCATCCTCTGCTGCTTTCCCTGGCACATAGCTGGATCAGAAGTGGAACAGCCAGGACTTGAACTGGCATCCTATGGGATGCCTTCACTGCAGGCAGTGGCTTAATCTGCTATACCACAAGACCAGCCCCAGCAAAGTGTTTTTGATAAGTTTTATGACTCACTCCCATGGGTGCTTCACAGTATTGAAAAAACCAGACCATGATTCATGTACACTCCCTCCTTTATATGCCATAAAGAACTCTTCTCACTAGAAAGCATATTAGAGTAAAATTGAGTAAGCTGTTGATAAAAAGGATAACCTGAATCTCTTTATTTTTGAAGAAGAAATAATTTGCAGCAAACATTGGCACAAAGATCCATGACAGAGAGCTTATTCTCATGTGATAGATGGATGGCCCAGTGTCAATTGGGGCCACAAGGATGACTTGACCATGTGCCTGTCATGATCCTGGAGGTTAGTCAGTGAACTGGCAATGGCAGCAGGGTTCCTGAAAGAGCAAGAGGGTAAGCCCCAGTGCACAAGGTTTTGTTGTTGTTGTTTGTTTTTGTTTTTAAGATGTGTTTATTTGAAAGAGAAAGAGACAGAGAGAGCAAGAGAGGTCTTCCATCTGCTGGTTCACTCCCCAGAACTGAGCTAGGCCAAAACCAGGAACCAGGAGCTTCATTTGGGTCTCTCATGTGGGTATCAGGGGCCCAAAACTGGGGCCATCCTCTGTGTCTTTTCCCAGGCCATTAACAGAGAGCTGTATTGGAAGTGGAGCAGCCAGGATATGAACTAGTGCCCACTTGGGATGCTGGCATCATAGGTGGCAGCTTACATGCTATGCCACAATGCTGGCCCTAGGAAAGGTGTTATACAAGGGTCAACACAGCATTCTGAAGGCTGTGTAGGCTTTGAATCAGAAGGAAAAGGGAAAGGGAAATTAGTTCTGGAGGAAGAATGCAAGGAGGAATACAGACATGGAAAACAGAGGTGCCTCATGGGACAGAGCGAAGGGACCTGTTACGGCTCATTGAGGAGGGTCAGGGAAAGTTCACAATGTTGCTTGGGCGAGGTTGAGAGAGGCGACTATTAGGTTGAGTGTAGAATTCATTGTCTACATTTTGTAGAGCTGTTGAAGGATATTTTAAGAGAAGAACTGTGTGATGAGGGGCTTGATTTAGGAGGAGTGATCTGAGATTGTTTCATCTGGATTAATCATCCATGTGGAAGGCAGCATTCCAAAATGGCGCTGAGATTGCAACCCCCTGGGTGTTATGTGCGCTCCTTGGAGTTGGGCAGGCCTGGGGGGTTGGTGGTTTACAGTCCCATGACCAGGTGTGTCATATGACAAAGGTAAAGTATTTTGTTGATACCCTGAAGGTCCCTCATCTGTTGATCTTGGATTAATCAAAGTGAAGGTTATCCAGGGTGGGCCTGGTCTAGCTGGATGAGACTTTATTTATTTTTTAAAGATTTATTTATTTGAAAGGCAGATTTACAGAGAGAGGTAGAGACAGAGAGAGAGGTTGGATGAGACTTTCAGAGGGGCCAGGCCTTTACTGCAGTCA